TGCCAATTGCCTACCTAGTATCTATTCTCGCCTTCTTCCTTACTAATAGAGTCCTGTTTTTGGTTTTTGTTTTTAAAGATTTATTTATTTGAGAGAGAGAGAGAGAGAAAACGTGCATGGGGTGGAAGGGCAGAGGCAAAGGGAGAAGCAGGCTCCCCGCTGAGCAAGGCTCCTGATGTGGGACTCAATCCCAGGACAGGATCATGACCTGAGCCAAAGTCACACACTTAACCGACTGAGCCACTGGGCCAGGAGCCCTGTTCTTGTTAAGGGTAGCAGTGTTCCCACACAACCCTGCATATGCGGTTGACCGTGTGGCACAATCCTAACCAATTAGATATGAGCAGAATCACTCGGTGCTGCTTTTGGGAAAACTCCTTCAAAGCGCAGCAGTCAGTAGGCATGCCCTTTTTCTCCTTCCTGCCTGGCAGGAGGTCCAATGTCTGAAGGGCAGAAGTCATGGGTCCGTGGGAACTAAAGCAATCCCCTAATGATGGCAGACAGAAAGAGAAAGAGAATATGGTGAAGCTATCGTATCAGCGCTGGACTTGCAACTGTGCAAAATACAAAATTAAAACCAAAACCAAAACCCGAACCTCTATTTGGTTTAGCTACTGTGAGTTGAATTTTCTGTTATGTGTAGCCAAACCGATTCCCAATTGCTAAGCCTGCTGTTGTGGTTTTGTATGGTTTTGTTTAACCTCTCACCTCACAATCCTATCAACGGCACCCATGCATCCTCATTGCATAGCCCAGTTCACAACTCAACACGCAACACACTATCAATATATATTTGTTGAGTGTGTAATTCCCAAAGGAGGTTTTTCGTGCCTTGTAACATGAGACAATAAGTACAAAACGTCATCTATGAAGTATTCTTGTCAAAAATATTTAACCTGAATCCAATCATGAAGACACTATTAGACAAATTCTGCATTGGAGACCATCTAAAACAACTCACCCAGACTCTTCCAAAGAGTTCCACGACACAAAACAATAAACTATCAGGTGGGAGGGAGGATTATTGTAGATTAGAAGAGACTAAACACACATTAACCACCAAAGGCAATGTGGGAATCCTGGATCAAACAACAGACGGTATCTGCTCACCCGACAAACCGGGACTTACCGGCCAGAAATGCCAAAGGCACCCCCAGGGCCCTGTGTGCTGTGGGAAAGGCACTTCTCAAGGGGTAGATCCCCCACTCACAACCCCATGCAGCCCACTCAGATCAGGAGAGACACTTGGAGAGTTGCTGACTTCAGAAAACACTTTGTATAGCTGGGATCTAGAAATCCAGGAGTCTCTTTATGGCTCCAAGCATCCGTACAACCAGAGAGGCTTAGGAAAACGGTCGCATCTATCAGAGAGGCTCCTGCAGGGAGCGATGGAACACTGTAACCCACACAGGACAATCCTCCCACCAGCGCTGCTCCTGGGGGTTGAGCACCGGGGGAGCTTCGCTTAGGCATGCGCCAAACTCAGCCACTGCTGTCCCTTGCCCTACACAGCCAGTGGGGTGCCACGGCTGGGAGGAGGGTGTCTCTGGACCGCCCTGGAAGCACAATATAACGACTGCAAAATGACTTCTTGCCCAGTGGGAGGGACACCGCGGGGCTCCCCGCCCCAGTGCAGTGTGGGGAAAACGCCGCGAAACCAGGGCCCACTAGGGGGCGGTAGAGTACAGCGGTTGGGCCGCACGCTCAGTCCTGGCTTCTCCCCTTCGCAGTTAGGTGACCTGAAGCTAGTCACAACCTCTCTAAGCTTTGGTTTCCTCATCTGGAATATGGAGATGAGAAGAGTGTCTGCAACGGAAGTTTGTTCTGGTTAGTACATGTGACTAGCGTATTGTAAATACTCGGTTAATATTAGCTATTAGTGGGACGCCTGGCTGGCTCAGTTGGTGGAGTGTGAGGCTCCGGATCTTGGGGTTGTGAGTTCGAGCCCCATGTTGGGTGTAGAGATTACTGCAAAATAAAATCTTCGGAAAAAAATGCTAAGAAAAAAAGACAATTTGGGTTAAAAACATATATTAGCTAGTAGTATCATCCCCTGGTACAAGGAGAGAGGGCTGTTTCTGCGCTTATGCATCTGGGGGTATGTGTGCAGCCGAGGAAACAAGGACATAAGCTCATTGGAACTTATGAAGCAAGACCTGGAAAATGCCACTCATGAAGTTGAGTTGAGGAATGAACCACCAAATAGAGACATGTGACCCACCAGGTCAGGGGCCACCCACACCCACCTATTCCCTCCAGCTGTAACCTTGTTTTTGGTCTTAAAAAATTTTTTTTTCATTGTGGCAAAATACACAGAATATAAAATTCACCATCTTAATCATTTTTCAGTGCACATTCAGTGGCATCAAGTATATTCATATTGTTGAGCAACCATCACCACCCTCCATCTAGAGAACATTCTTCATCTTGCAAGACTGAAACTCTGTACCCATTCAGTATGAACTTCTCATTTCCCCACCCCACCGTGCCCTGCCAACCGCATTCTATTTTCTGTCTTTATGAATTTGACTACTCTAGGTGCCCCATATAAGCAGAATCATACGGTATTTGTCTTTTTATGACTGACTTCTATAATGTCCTCATGGTTCATCCACTTTGTAGCACGTGTCAGAATTTCCTTCATTTTTATGGCTGAACAATAGCCCGTCACATGTATATACCACATTTTGTTTTTCCCTTTGTTGGATCGATGGGGTAACCCTTTGGTTCCTTTTGAACCAGGTGGTCCATCAAGACTTTCCTGAAAGAGGTTAAGCAACCAAGGGAATCAGGGGCTGATCCCTGGAATGAGAAGAAATCTCCAACATGGCAAAGGCCTAGGAGAACAAGAAATGATTTGCAGACAAGGGAGGAAAGAAATTCAGCCAGTATACAGACCCACAAGTGTATTGAGTCCCTAAATGTCACTCACACGGTTGAGAGGTGGCCCATGACCATCATTGTCTCTCAGTTCCAAACCCATGCCTCTCTACTTGGCTTTGTGGTGCTAGGTTGAGACCCTGCAAACCACGCATTGGGCTCTTCCAGTTCGGGGTGCTGCAGGAAGGCTGCAAGCCTGGAGGAAGAAGGAGGGCACAGTGACCTCCTTTCTCCCTGTGATTCCTCTGAGCAACACCCCAGCAATGCCTTTTCCCCCAGGAGAGGCAGTGCCTTCCTGCAGTAGCAGCCGATTCCAGTTTCCAGGTGGTCCAACACTTGCAGACCTGCAACACATCGCTCCTGACCATCACCAACCGGCCAGCACCCCCTCCTCTGACTACTGGGTCCCAGTCCCGTGGGACCACTCCTCTAAATTGTAATGTTTTAATTATTCCAGGCATTTCCCTTTGTCTAGCCCGAGAGGTGGTAGCTGGCTCCTCTGTGGTATCTTGGGGTTATCCTGGAGTAGGTTAACAATTCTTTGTATTTAATTCTCTTTTTTCAAGTTATTGCTGTGGTTTTGTCTCCTGACTTGATTCTAACCGATGCACCCCAACCACTATTTCAAAACTTTAATGCTATTCCAGCCTCTGTGTTTCCAGACTCCTCCCTCTAGTAAGGATGACCTGGCGTCCTGTTTCATTCAGAAAATTAAAGCTGTCTAGGGCACCTGGGTGGCTCATTTGGTTAAGCGTCTGCCTTTGGCTCAGGTCATGATTTCGGGGTCCTGCGATTGAGCTCCACATCGGGCTCCTTGATCAGCAGGGAGTCTGCTTCTCCCTCTCCCTCTGCTTCTCTCTCTGTCTCTCTAAAACAAATAAATACATCTTTTTTTTAAAATATTTTATTTATTTATTTGAGAGAGAGAGCACATGAGAGGGGGGAGGGTCAGAGGGAGAAGCAGACTCCCCGCCGAGCAGGGAGCCCGATGCGGGACTCGATCCCGGGACTCCAGGATCATGACCTGAGCAAAGGCAGTCGCTCAACCAACTGAGCCACCCAGGCGCCCACAAATAAATACATCTTTAAAAAGAAAGAAAATTAAAGCCGTTTAGGTGACCTCAAACATGCCTCCCCCAACATCAGCCAATCTATAAAATTTCTATAGCCAATTTCCTTTCCTCAGTCTCAGAGGATAAAGCATGTTTTTCTGTTTAATTCCAAATCTTCCACAGGTGCTTTTGAGCCCAACCTCTCCAATGTCCCCTATTCTCCTCTGTTCCTTGTATCTTCTCTCAATTCTTAATACGCTCTTTTCTCTAGAAAAGCTCTCTGGGAAGCTGAAGATGGGTAAAAGGTTGGCAGGTACTCTTTTCCTCTCTCTTGTTAGCCACATTCCTATTTCCCCCATAGCATGTCCACCTAAGTCTGAATTCCCGGACAAGCTCTGCATTCCCAGAATCTAGTACAGTGCCTGTTGGGAGGAGGCAGGGAGCTGATAGTCTGTGTTTGCTGAATGGGTACAGTAGACAGGGGTGGCTTGCGGAAGGAATCAGCAAACGGGTGAGATTCTGTGGTTAGCAGAGCTCACGGCACACCGTCAAGCCACATTTTCTCACCGTGCAGTCCTTGGACCACCAGCACCAGAATCACTTGCGAGCTTTTTGAAAATGCTGACTCAAGGGCGCCTGGGTGGCTCAGTCGGTTAAGCGTCTGCCTTCGGCTCAGGTCATGATCCCAGGGTCCTGGGATCGAGTCCCGCATCGGGCTCCCCGCTCAGCGGGGAGTCTGCTTCTCCCTCTACCCTACCCCCTGCTCATGATCTCTCTCTCACGCTCTCAAATAAATAAATAAAATCTTAAAAAAAAGAAAAGGCTGACTGAAGCCCCACACTGATTGGGGTATGTCAGTGTGATATGGGAGCCAACTGAAAGAGCTCCCAGAGGCCAAAGTCGAAATAACTTGACAGCAAAACAAATGAAGTGATACTGGCTTATAACCCAAAGTATAAAATAAATGTCCATGAGTCTATACTGATATAAATAAATGGTTGAATAAACAATGGGGGAGGAGATACAAATCTCCTGTGCAGAAGAATTCCAAATAATTTATATACATACCACATCCTCAAACAGGTGGAACATAACTCCCTGCTCAAGCGTGGGCTGCCCGTAGTGACTTCCTTCCAGAGAGGACGGTATGAAAGGGGTAGCGGGTAATTTTCCAGTGGAGAAACCTGACTAACATGACCTCAACCAGGTGATCAGGGTCAACGTGAGGCTGATGAGTCAGGCTGATAGTATGTATACTTGATACTGTGTGATGAAAATGGCATTTTACTTTTGTGGGTATTTTCCCCAACTATCTATAACCTCAGTCTTATCACGAAAAGAACATCAGGCAAGTTCCAATAAAGGGATATCCTGCAGACTTCCTGACCAGTACTCCTCAAAACTGTCAAGGTTATGGAAAACAAGGAAAGTCAAAAAACCATCACAGCCAAGAAGAGCCTAAGGAGACATGACAGCTCAATGTAACGGGGCATCCTGGATGGGGTCCTGGAACAGAAAAAGGACAGTAGGTAAAAACTAAGGCTATCTACATAAAGTACGGATGTTAGTTCATCAAAATGTATCAATATTGGTTTCCTAATTGTGACAAATAGACCATAGTAAGATAGGACGTTAATAATAGGAGAAGGTGGATGTAGGGTTTATGGGAATCCTTTGTGCTATCTTCCCAACTTTCTTGTAAAGCCAAAGCTTTTCTAAACAATGAAGACGACTGGGCGCCTGGGTGGCTCAGTTGGTTAAGCGACTGCCTTCGGCTCAGGTCATGATCCTGGAGTCCGGGGATCGAGTCCCACCTTCGGGCTCCCTGCTCAGCCGGGAGTCTGCTTCTTCCTCTGACCCTTCCCCCTCTCATGTGCTCTCTCTCTCTCAAATAAAATCTTTAAAAAAAAATAAATAAAATAAAAAATGAAGATGACTAAAAATGTTGTTTTTTTTTTTAATTCAAATTCCTGGGCCTCCCGTCAGAATCTCAGGGAATGAGCCTCAGGGCTCTGCATTGTAAACAAGCATCTCACTGGTTTCGTGCACACTGAAGTCTGAACAATAGTCTCTTTGTCTCTGCTCAGAGACAGAGAGATCCCTTGCTTACTGTGGTTTGGATCCATGCCACCATGTTGCACAACTCCAGGGTCACCCTCGATATCATGTCCAATTTATAATGTTAGTGGCATACCATGGCACCTTGGAGTGGCCATCTTGTACCTGTCGCCTCTCTGCACCGTTATTTTGATTGGTCTACATGTGCGACTGTGAGCCACTGTTTAACAGCTGAGCTAAGCCAGCTGCATTCCTGGGGCCTTCGTCAAAAGGCATGATCACACTGTTCTGAGTCTTCATTTCTAATTACTACTTGAGGAACGAACTGTCTCCTAAGAGTTCTGGAACAAATAGACAGGCTCAATTTTGAGAACTGTTTCAGCCTCCTTGCCAATGTTCAGAGTATAATTACGGAAATTATAATGATAATAATTGCAGGAACTTACTATGGGCAGGACCTGTTCTAAGAGATTTTTCTTTTTAATGTATTAAGTTATTTAATGCTCAGAAGCCCCCTAGAGGCAGGTGTTATTATTACCATCATTCCCTCTTCACAGATGAGGAAAGGAGTTAAGGAGACTTGGCTGGGCGTCTAACAGTTAGTTGAGAACGAGCTGGGATTTGAAGCCAGGCTCCAGGCTCTGGGCACTTCACCATCGCACACGCCCTTCCAGCTCTCCCAAGAGTCTTATATGAAATATGGCAAGGTGCCATAAAAAACATAGAAGACATAATTACCTTTTTCTATTTTACATATATATTTGTGTTCACATTTCACAACGATAACATACAACGTCTGGTAACGGTACACAGATCATTTCTTTCAAATAGAATTGTTGCTAAAACCCAATGTTTTCATATTTGGTATGATGGACTGTTAGCTGGAATTTATATAAACTACCAGGAATAAAAAGTTGTTCTGTTCTTAATGAGCATGGAATAATTTTTTAAATGATAACCTTTTATTTCAAGAATTCAGGTGGATTATTTTCCTTGTCGATCCAACTCTATGGTTTATCAGCCAATTGTGTTAGAAGCTCTTTTCCTTTCCTTTAGGAAGTCTGGAATAAGAGATTAGACCTTGTCAGTTATCATCACAAATATGTCATGATTATTGGTATTTTATGCCTCTATCTTGTATGTAGAGTCTCATACACTACTTAAGCTCCGTGGTGTAAGGATACATCGAAAACTGGAGAGAATTTTAAAAAAAATAATCAAAGGGTTGAAAAGTTACAGAAATATTTAGTCTGGAGAAGAGAAGGCTAAAGGTATTTGAAAAACTCACTTCTGAGATGAATAACAAATCAGGAAGATATTGAACAGATGTTCTAATCATCTGGTGGCTGGTGGAGCAGGTTTGGTTGAGGATACTACAGAGAGCAACTGTAAAGGAATAAAATAGTTATCAGCACCAGAGAGATCAGGATTATAACCCACAATGGGCATGTTTTCATTGGAAGAACATAGGAGCACCAAGTCAGGGTCTCTTGAAGGACACTCAGCCAGACCGACATGGTCCTAGGGACTATCCAAGGTTAATGTCAAGATCCCACCACTTCTTTTTTTTTTAAGATTTTATTTATTTATCTGACAAAGAGAGACACAGCGAGAGAGGGAACACAAGCAGGGGGAGTGGGAGAGGGAGAAGCAGGCTTCCTGCCGAGCAGGGAGCCCGATGTGGGGCTCGATCCCAGGACCTGAGATCATGACCTGAGCTGAAGGCAGACACTTAACGACTGAGCTACCCAGGCGCCCCAAGATCCCACCACTTCTATGAGTGTTCCTTCCTCCTCAGCGTCAGGCTCGCTCACACAGGGTCCATCTGAGTCCCAGTTGGTCTGGCACATTTGCACAGGGTAGAACCTCCTTGGCCTGCAGGTGAGGACAAACTACTATCTGCTGGGTCAGAAAACTCAGGTCGCTATTCTTTTGTATCTTTTTGGCCACCGGTGGGGCACTCATTGCTGAATAATCCCTTATAAATAAATATTCCAATCCCAGAGTTACGTCCATAAGGTCGTAAATAATTGCCAAATCAGGGGCGCCTGGGTGGCTCAGTTAAGCATCTGCCTTCGCCTCAGGTCATGATCCCAGGGTCCTGGGATCGAGTCCTACATCGGGCTCCCTGCTCAGTGGGGAGCCTGCTTCTCCCCCTCCCACTCCCCTGCTTGTGTGCTCTGTCAAATAAATAAATCTTTAAAAAAAATAAGAAAAATTAAAAAAATGCCAAATCAGAAGGATCACCTCACTTTAACCTTTGAACCAACCCCAGTTTCTATACATACATACTATCACTGAAATAACATAAAAGGGAATATTAAATCCCCTTGTTTATGCGGTTCTACCAGTAGACTTTCTGAGACTTTCCTAGGACATAATTTATCTTTTTTTTTTAGGTTTATTGATTTATTTTTAGTCATCTCTACACCCAGCGTGGGGCTTGAACTCATGACTCCAAGATCAAGCATTGCATGCTCTTCCGACTGAGCCAGCCAGGTGCCCCAGAACATAATTTATCTTGCAATGGTTTTGGAAATCCTTTGTCCATACTTGCATGCACTACCCACTCATTGGGGCATGAGGTAGACGCTGGATATCTGGACAATCTGAAGCCCGTCCAATTGTCAGAATGGGGGGGAAGCAGCAAGTATGGCTTGATTGTCTTTCCCTCGTTCATCTCATTCAATTGAATATATATGTTGAAGCCCTACTGTGTGCCAATCACCATGCTAAGCCTTGGGGAAACAAAGATGAAAGACAGGCCCTGCTTGCAATTGCGTGGAGGACACAGGCAATTAGACAATGACCTCCAAGTAGAGTGTACCTGCTTTTATAAAGGAATGCAATGCACAGGTTGTGAAAGGAGCCCAAGGGCGTAGAATTCAGCCGCCATCACAGAGCAGCAGACTGGAACTTCTCACATTCCTTACCTAACATCAGAATTGGCCCTAGTGACTGGACCACAGATTCATCTGCAGAGGGAGTACAAGGTGAGTCATGACTATGAAAGAGATTGGTACATGGGAAGGCGGGAGGTTGGAGCCAGGTGAGTGAGCGTGTCACAGTCTCTCCTTGATGCTGGACGGACCAAAACCCACAGCCTTAACAAAGCAATTTTACATTTGGTGGACATGATGGGTGGGAAGATTTTACCAGTGTGATTTTTGGTTCCCGATCTTATCAACTTGTACATGACATGGGAGATCAAAGAAATTGTCACCTTTGGGACAATGGGGTTGCTATTAAGAGCACATAAACCGAGTCCCTATGGTTGCTGGGCAGAAGTAAATCTTAACATAGCTTTTACCTAGGTAGAAATTAAGGAAGTGCAAAGGGAAACAGGTGAATAGCAGATGGATGAGGAAATTTTAAAGTATGAATTAAAGAGAAAAGCCGAGTGTCGCCTTGGACTGCCATAAAAAGTACACAAACTGGGGGGCTTAAAACAACAGAACTTTAGTGCCTCACAGTCCCAGAGGCTGTCAGTCCCAAATCCAGGGGTCAGCAGGGCCGTGCTTCCACGGAAACCTGAAGGGCAGGACTGTTCCTTGCCTTTTCCAGCTTCTGGTGTTTGCTGGCCATCCTTGGTGTTCCTTGGCTGGCGGTGGCAGCCGCTGCGATTTCTGCTTCTGTTGTCACAGGGTGATGTCCCTGGGTCTGTAAGAGTCTCTTCTTATAAGGAGAGCCAGTCATATGGGATTAGGTCCTACCCTACTCCATAATGACCTCATCATAACTAGTTACATCTGCAATGATCCTATTTGCAATGAAGGCCACATTCTCAGGCACTGGGGGTAGGACTTCAATATACTTTTTTTGGTTATACAATTCAGCTAATAACACTGAGAAAGATAAAAGAGAGCCCTGGGCTTCATTCTCCATAAAAAGTAGAAAAGCTAAAATCAGGGGCGCCTGGGTGGCTCAGTTGGTTGAGTGTCTGCCTTTGGCTTGGGTCATGATCCCAGGGTCCTGGGATGGAGTCACATGTCAGGCTCCCTGCTCAGCAGGGGAGTCTGCTTCTCCCTCTTTCTGCTCATGCTCTCTCTCTGTCCCTCCAAAATGAATAAATAAAATCTTAAAAAAAAGAAAAGCTAAAATCAATAAGCAAAATTAAGTGACAGAATAGTCGATCAGTTTTCAGGATTTTGTATTTCTAGCTTATTTTCTGAAATTTTGAAATATTTTCATGTGTTCTTTTTTCACTAGCTGCTGTGGTTGTGACATTCTTCCCGTGTATGCATTTTTCGATTGCATTTCTATGGATTTACAACAATAAATGTTGCCAACAATGGAAATAAGAATAATGAAAAATTTCCGACACAGTATTTTTGTGATTATCTCACCTTGGAAAAAAGGAGAAATAAAAGATCAAATGGATGCATTTTGTTTTAGAACATTACGTTGAAAACATGAGTTTGAATCAGTTTGAATCAATCAGCATAAACTGGCCATGAAGATGCACAGGCAAGCAAGACGAAACATTTAAGCCGATAATGACCTTCACATCTTTGAGTAGGTCTTACAAGTGAGCAAGTGAGAGACAGGGGTGTTTCACTTTGTTGAAACAACCCTGGGGGAATTGGGTGGGTGTTGGCCTTGTTCTGATGGACGGGAGGCCTCTGGGCAGTTTGGGAAGACATAGCCTGGTCAGGGGATGGTATTATGATGTTTGGCCTATCTTTCCTGTTTTGATGATGTCCTGAAATCCAGCTGGCACTCTGGCAAGGATCTAGGGCAGCTACATCAAGAGAAGTCGCTTATGTAGTACCAATCAGTAGCCATATCCATTAAAAGAAGGAACACGTTGGCACTACAAAAATGTCCTGTGCTGCGATCTGAGGTAACAGGATAAAGGGAATTGGCAATTTGGTCTCACTTCCTTTTCCCCACTTTTAGCAGATGCTGCTGGTGTCCCAACCATATCCTCTCTGCCCATCCTGGAGGTCACTAGAGCTTCAGTGGACCCCTCTCCTTCAAGCTCCTATGTCTCTCTGTCTAAGGGCTCTCTCTGGATGCAGGAGTGTGCCCGGTCCACACACGAAGCCGGCTGAAAGTGCAGGGTGGTTTATAACCCCCAGGAGCAGCACTCATCTAATGAGGGAGGGCTGCTGGGCAAATAGCCCAGCTTTCTTGTCTGTTGGTGAGACATTTTTGAAGTGTGTTCTGCTCAGTCTCTGAAAGGGTCTTTAGTAGGATTTAATTCCCGACCCCCACAGCTGTGACCTGCTCATTATTGACTGCCTTCTTCCCTAGCTCCTCATTGTGCTTCCTGGGATCACCTCTCAAGTACCGAGGTGGGATTTGCACCTCAATTCTTATCTCAAGGTGGGCTTTGGGGGGAACAGAAGCTAATAGCATTATATCCATTATTCTCTTTCATGGCGAATATTCAATATTGGATGGGCCCGGAAACGAGGGGTGTTGATATTAACAGCACTGCAGTGGGAGGCTAGGAATCCATTTTACTTTTATCCCTGCAGTGTGACTACCAGCAAGATCCTGTCCACTTTTGATTAAAACCACTCTCAGGAAAGAAAAATGGGCAAAAAGCAGAATAATCCTATTTGGTACAATTATAAATACTCTCACAAATGGTTAGAGTTATGGAATATGTATGGCCATATTAAGATGATAAAAGCTTCTTTGTCTCCTATTTATGTAATATACCTAAAAACAAGGTATAAGAAAATGTCTTTTATGTAATGTAATCTGATGTATAATTTTGAAGATTACTAAGACTGCGTTATCTTTATTCACATCAGGCTATTGAAAGCCCAATTCCATTTTGTCATATGTATGCATGGCATAAACAGCATATATCTAGCATAATGGCTCGCAATCCTAAGTGACCCAACCCTTACTTTTATAACAAATATTCTCCAATTCTGCCTTTAATAGCCTTAATGAAACTCAAGAAAAATATGCTATATATCATTTTAATACTCAATATAACATCCTAATGATGCAAAGAAACAAGGGGAAAATTTGCAATGAAATAATACATACTTTTATTAGGTTTTCATTTTTATTTTGACCTGTTTGTGTTTGGGTGTGACTTCCCTGGAGGCACAATACTTGCATCCATCTATAAATATGTTAGTTTGTACGGTATATAGAAGTAAGGAGGTCAGAAGTGATGCCATGCAGGATGCACAGAAAAATGAGAGGGCAGAAGGATGATGCAGAGCGGAATAAAAACCAGTGCAGGACAAGTAAGTGCCTGTCTGGTGCGAACAGATGGGACATGGTTGTATGGACATAAGAGAAGGAGTAACCTTAACTTAGCTCCGAGAAAGAGCAGATGGTCTGGGTGGAGAAGATGAGGAAGTGTGATTGTCTCACAAATGTGACAGCCTCTATATGAATGATTTAAAAATACTTCCTTATGGGTAGTGGTGAAGCAACAGAAAACTGATCTCCTATTCCGAAATCCCACCACACATTAGGGCATGCGCTCCGTCTCTAGAACTTAGATCCAGGAGACCCCATCCTTTGATATGTGATGGAAAACAGAAATGAATCAGAAAAAGAAAAAGCTCTAGAGAAATAAGGTAATGGACTAGCGTGGGTACTGGAGGAAGACCAGAAGAAAAAGGTAAACCAACCCTATCACTTCCCAACACACCCCCACACACACATACCTCCGCACCATAATCTCCATACACAATTAGGATTGTGAAACCGGTGAGCAGAACAGTATCAGCCCTATGCCCCAAGTCTTAACCCTCGTGGAGGCTTACTTCCTAACTGCAGGTTTGTTTTTTGTTTTTTTTTTTTGAGATTTTAATTATTTACTTTAGAGAGAGAGCATGAGCAGGGAGAGGATCAAAGGGCAGAGGGAGAAGCAGGCTCCCCACTGAGCAAGGAGCCCAACGCAGGGCTCCATCCCAGGACCCTGGGATCATGACCTGATGCCTCACTTAACCGACTGAGCCCTCCAGGCGCCCCCTACCCCTCGTTGCAGCTCTTAGCTTGCAGTCTTGCCCTGCCACCACAGCCTCTGCTCACTCACAGGGTGGGCTGCAAGTGCTGGGAAATTGCACTGCTCACGGGTAGCCCTCTGGGACTGCCTCCCGAGGGAGGCTACCCTTCCTTTCCCTGTGTCACTTCCTATTCTCCCACTGGTCTTTCCTAGGGCAGCTGCAAGACAACTTGAAACTTTGTCTCAAAGTCTGCCTTTGGTGAGACCCAAGCTAAAACAGATGGTGATCATCTGAAATATTTTTTTTAATTAATTGATGAGGTTCTAATTCTATTAAAAGAAATCTCAAATGTTCTGTTACATTTTGTTGCTTCTGCCGGAATTGCTCCTCTGCACCTAAATGTGCAGTTGGGAATACTCTAAAAAATAATGTTGAAGACGGACGTCCCCCCAAATCACATTTCAGGTCAATTAACATTTCCTGCAAATTATCTAATGTGTTGCATCATTTTCAAGTGGACTAATCACCTAATTTGATATTATAAATCCAAACTGATCTCTAGATCTAACCATTATGTTTTTTCTTTAAAGATTTTATTTATTTATTTGACAGAGAGAAACACAGCGAGGGAGGTAACACAAGCAGGGTGAGCAGCAGAGGGAGAAGCAGGCTTCCCGCGGAGCAGGGAGCCCGATGCGGGGCTCGATCCCAGTACCCTGGGATCATGACCGGAGCCGAAAGCAGACGCTTAATGACTGAGCCACCCAGGCGCCCCCATTATATGTTTTTAAGTAGCATGAAAATTAGCAATACAATCCCACACCAGTATTTTAGACCTACGTGGTCTCATCTGCTACAGATATGGGAACTGTGAAAATTCTGGGCAAGAAAGCATCTCTTAAAATGACATAAGTTTGCTGAAAAATTTCGTGATAATTCCTTCCTCTTTAGTAATCTTAATCTTATTTACTTGCAGTTTAAAGACTTCATTTAACATTTCTGGCACGTATGATATATATGTCAAATCACTTTGTAATATTTTCATATTAGTAATTTAATTTTTCATTGATTGAAACAAAAGTTGCATGTTAGTATCAAAGAATAAAGTATTTTAAAACAATTTTCTTTGGAATACTATCTTATTTCATATATAGCATAAGGCAGTCAAAACTCCTTTTCAGTCACTGCAAAGATTACAAAGTAATCTTATATTTAAGGCATTAATTTGAATTCTATCAATAGCACTGATAGGATTCATTGATTTGTGGGTCTTTCACAAGATTTTTGGTGACTGAGGTCGTCAATGAAAAATTCAATGACTCACTAACAAGGCTGTTGCTACTTTCCAGTTGTTTATCAACCCAGATTACTCACTGACCATCTGTTGCAAAAGGACAAAACTTCCTGTGAAATAATTTTTAAGAATTTCACATTTTCACAACGCCAAGTATCCACTGTCTATACGTATGGAAGTACATTTCCTGCTCAATGTTTTTACTCCCACGAATCCTGGGATTTGTGGTCAGCAAAGTTTCATTATTATGTAGGTTACTTGCATTCATTTCCAACAGATATTCTTCTGTTTGTAGATCACTTCATGGCCTATTTTTCAGCTCTTTCGATTTCTCGTAGATCCTTCTACATACAATATTATTGCTCAACAGAATAGAAGAAATCTTTAAAATTTCTTACTCATAATTAGTAACCTTTTATATGACTGGTAAAATTAATTTTCTTCCCATATTGTTTGGATTACCACAGATTGTTATAATTTATGCCATTCTATAAGAAATGGTACCTATACCTTTCAGATTAGGTTTTAAAAGAAACATTTCAGGGACGGTCTTATGAATTTCAGACTCTCCTTAAATCTCTGAAGTTTCTACCTTTGCCAACTCTGTGTCTTTACATAATTTTTCCTTAATCTTGGTGGATTCATCTAAATGAATTAGAAAAAAACTATGCTGTGCATATGGACCCTTTCAAATATTCAATGGAGTATTCTCAACACCTTTTCTTAATATTTCACATTATATATAGTATTTTCATAATAAGGGCTAGGTTTGTACATCTTTTTGAAAGATACAGAATCACTAAGAGTGCATCAGCCACCCGTGTAAATTGGTACTGGCGACTTCAGTGCAACGAGCAGAGTTGCTGCAGGTGGTGTAGTGTTTTGAATTGGTGAACAACTCTTGATTAAGTTCCAAGTAACAACTGAAACAGTAACTAGTTGCGTTCCTGTAAAATTCAGCATGAATTAAAACTCTACCAAGCACATGTTTACATGTGAAATGGAACTGGTTCTAGATTCAGATAAATACAAATAGACTTTTACTTACATAAGAAGCATGAGGTTGGAGAGTAAAACATTCAGGTTAGGAAAGAGAAAGAGAACAATTCTTTTTTTTTTTTTTTTTGATAAAAGGATTGTGTCTGGCATTTATTGGACCCCATGCAGGATCCTCCAATTCATTGTGACAACCCAAAATACACTTAACGGATTTCCAAAATGCTCCCTGCTCAGTAGATATCTGTTGTGAATACTGTTGAATCAGTAAAAAGACGTAACTAATTCTTTAAAAAGCCTCCAGACCTATTTTCTCATAAATATTAGTTTCATAGATATTATATGCTGAAAATGCTTTTGATGCAGTATAAAGGCTACTTCATCCAAGGATTGACCATCAACCCTAGTCATTATCTACTGATTCCTCCCCCTGGGGATTTGGAAAGGGGGTCCCCAGCCAGAATATGGAAATAGGATGTGGTTTACAAGCTTAAGGCAGAGTAGTTGTCCTATGATCAGAACTTGGTACTTTGGAAGTCTGTGGTTCTTAATTTGGTTGTTGTTGGCCCCTTCTACCTTTAGTAAGCTTTAGGAAAAATTCTTTCTAGCTCTGCTCTAGGAAAGGAACACTGTGCTAAAGGTAAGCTGAAATCTACAGGAAAGGAACATGTCAGGGATGTTTCATCAGCAACCTTCCCCTAGGACTCCCCTGGAGATTTGCTTTCTAATGCTAAACCCTTAGAGATGCTGTGTTTTTTTATGAAAGGAAGACAATGCCTTCACACCAAGAGCGCAAAATGGGTAGGATACAACACTTGGTAAGATACATTCCCTGCCTGCTAGGGGCTTACTCTTTCAAACTTACCACTCCTACCACGATGTAGAAAGCAGATTCAGCAAGACATGGCAAGGCAAATGATGATGCCTAGTAATTGACAGATTTAGTTCTCCATAATACAATCTAGAGGAGAGAAGGTGGAAATACAGGCAAGGACTTTAGAAATGATATACACTGAGCATCCAGCTGTATTAGTGCCACTGGAATAATAAATTTGATATGGTGGTGATAAAAAGAAGAAATGATATACACTGAGCAATCTGGGACTGTGTGATAATCACTGGCTAAATCACACCAGTGTAGGAGTTCTCAACCTCACATTATTGACATTTTGGGCAGGAGAATTTTTTTTTTTTTTAAGTAGGCTCCACGCCTAGCATGGAGCCCAATGCAGGGCTTGAACTCATAATCCTGATATGAAAACCTGAGCTGAGATCAAGAGTCAGATGCTTAACCCACTGAGCCATCCAGGCACACAGGAGAATTCTTCATTGTGGGAGGCGGCCCTGTGTATTGTAGGATGTTTAGCAGCATCCCATCTGCCCATTAGATGCCAGCAGCGGACCCCTCTCACAATTTTAACACCAAAAATGTCTCCAAATATTGGCAGGTGTCCTCTGGAGGCCAAAAACTGCCCCCTGTTGAGAATCGCTGCACTATTGCTTCTCAGACTTTTGCATACAAATCACCTGAGGGCAGCTTTAATAGGTCTGGGGGTAGGGCCTGGCACTCTCCAGTCCAAACAAGATCCCAGGTGAAGCTGATGCTGCCCATCCAAGCACAATACTTGCTTCTTAGAAGACAAACCTAGAGCTTTCTACCGTTAATATGTCCTGGTTCTGAGTGCAGAGTAGATGCACACTCAAGGTATGGATCACTGAAAACACTCTCATGCAAGGTCTGCATACTGTATTAAGTTACTGTGCATTTAGTTAACAACGTTGCAGAATTGAACATAAATAAGTGAAGGGTTTTTTGTCTGTTTTTCCAAACTTCAGAATGCTTTATCTCCCATCTCAGCAGTTCTCAAACCTTTTATCTTGGGATTTCTTCAGAACTCTCAAAGATAATCGAGAACTACAAGAGCTTTTGCTAACATGGGTTGTATTTATTAAATATATTAGAAATTAAATGAGACAGAAAAATTTAAAAACTGTTTGGAATTTGTTTAAAAATAACAGTAACATACCCATTGCACATTAATATATTTTTGTGAAAAACTGCTGCACATTCCCAAGCAAAAAATTATGGGGAAAAATAGCGTTATTGCACATATTTGCAAATGTCTAAGATCTGGCTTTACAGAAGACAGCTGGATCCTCATATCTGCTTCTGCTTTCAGTTTGTTGAGATATGTTGTTTCATTTGAAATATATGAAGAAAATCTGGCCTCACACAGCTTTGTAGTTGGAAAAGGAAGCAATTTAAGTTATTTCAGATAACATGGACATTTTTGTCACTACAGCATAACTTAACAAGCGATAGTTTATTAAAAGATTAGTTGCAATGAGAAATCTGAAACCCTATCAATGAGTTTTTTGTACTGTTACACTAAAATGTATTGGTTTATCTTGCAGTTTGAACTGATCTTACCCATGCATGATTTTTGTAACATGATGCATTGATCAACCGGCAACTCCACTGTATACTCCTGAGTGAGTAAGAGTAAAAAAAAAAAAAAAGTCTTAATTATGAAAATAGTTGTGGCCTGTCTGGATTCCCTAAATTGGGGTGGGGTGGCCACACCTACTTTGAGAACCAGTGACCTATGTTGGCTACGGGTTTTGTTGCCTACCAACAGCTTCTGCAAAACAAAGAAAAGCCTAAGGAAAGTAAGTCACGTATGCTTTTGCCTTCTAGCAATAATCAGTGATAAAATTTTGGGTCACTGGCACCTCTTCTTAAAGGCAGGAACTGTGTTTTATTGTTCCACAAATTCCAGATTTAGCTCAGCTTTTACAAGCTGGCCCTTACAAGCACTCAAACAGTATTTTAAGTACGCCATCCCGTTGTGCAGCCTGTCCTTTTCATTTAGGCTTGTAGTTGGTCAATTTCCCTATAATACGTATCCTTTAATAACTACATAATATAAAATTAAAGTTTTCAGGCTCAAGCTCATTCAAAAAAAACATGACTTTGGGGGGCCTGGGTGGCTCAGTCTTTAAGCGTCTGCCTTCGGCTCAGGTCATGATCCCAGGGTCCTGGGATCGAGCCCCACATCGGGCTCCCTGCTCCGCGGGAAGCCTGCTTCTCCCTCTCCCACTCCCCCTGCTTGTGTTCCCTCTGTCGCTGTGTCTCTCTCTGTAAAATAAATAAATAAAATCTTAAAAAAAAAAAAACATGACTTTGCCTTAGTAAAGATTCATTTCATTTTGCAACAGGAAAAAAAATGAAATGGCTAGGTCTGGAAGGCCGCTGAGGCAGAAGTTTGGGGAGCAAGGTCGCTCGGCCTCAGTAGACTCGCCACGCCTGGGATCTGACCACCTGCCAGCGCGGTGTGGAAGGGTGGGATCCCGTGACCACGGCACACGGCGCTCGAGGGGATGCCGCGCGGGATCGACGTAGGAGAGGGGGGCAGCGGGACAGCGCAGCTCTCCGCGACTGAGCGGCCTCTCGCACTCGCGGGACACCGGAACTCCAGAGAGTTACTGTCAACATCCTTGGGGGAGAGAGCCTCCGGGGCTGGGGGCTGGTGGGGGTGGGGGGGCTGCCCAGAAAGACTGAGCATGCGTGGACCGCGCCGGACGTCCAGTCCGGGGAGAGGTTAGAGGTCGCAAGGAATACCTTCGCCACGCCGGCCCTCCCGAGGAATCCGCTGCCACGCGGCTCCTCAAGAGCTGCTTCCAGGAGTTACACTCCCGCTCCTCCCAGGAACTCCCATTGCTTTTCTAAACGGGACCCGCGGCAGTCGGGAAAACCCGGACAAACGGATCCCTCCGACTGCGGACGGACTTCCCTTCCCAGGCAGGAAGGGAGGGGGCGGGCAGAGCGGCGTGTCCCACGGTCCGCGCATGCGCCGCTCGCAGGCGGCCCCTGGAGTGGACTCCAGGTGCCGGATTCGCTGCCACGCCGGGAGTGCGCCTGCGCGGTCGCCAGGTCCCTCCACCTCCACTTCCCCTCCCCCTGTCGCCCCGCGGGGGCTCCGGGTCCGGCGGGACCATGTTCACCAGCACCGGCTCCAGTGGGCTTTGTGAGTACCGGCTGCCGCCATCCTGGCTGTTCCCTACGCGCCACCCTGGGCACCTCCTTGAGAAGCCTGGGGGCAGCGGGGACCCTCGGGGTTGCAGGAGGTTTGGGGGCCGACCCTCCATCTCCGCGCCCGAACCTTAGGGGTTCCTTCCCGTGAGGGGCAGCAGGCACTGCCCCCACCTCAGCCTGAAGGGTCCAGTGGGGACTGAGTCTCGCCGTCAGACCCGGCCCCCACCTATGAACCCCAGGTGCGATGCTCAGGTGTTCCAGGGGCTGCTGCAGGTGGGCTGGACAGTTAGGGTCGGGCTGGGTGTCCTGGTGTTCTCCGGACTCGACCCCTTGTGCTCAGCGGCGCGTGTGCCAGGCCGAAGGAAGAGGCTGTCCTGGTGGAGCAGATGCTGGAAGCCTGCCCCCTTCCCAGTCACCTTGCTCCATTTAGGCTACAGAGGGACCGAACTGGCTCTCCCCCAGATGCAAATTTCCAACCGCTGTCTCAGGAGCTGACCGCTCAGGTTTACTTAGATTTCTTTCTTCCTCGGTCTCTCTTAAGAGTTTTTAGACAAATAAAAACTGATTAAAGTACATTAAAGTGGAAGGAAGTTAAGTCATTTGGCAGCAAAGTGCGGACATTGCTGCTGGATGTTGCTGTGATCTTTCACTTGAACATCAGTGGTAGTCAGCAGAGGGCAAAGAAGTATATATAGCCTTTTAAACCATTTTATTTTTTTCCCTGAAATTGTTTAGTTGACTATTGGTAAGGTGGCTTGTGTGTTAAGTAAACAGCACTGAGATGAAATACTGGTACAGCAACATGAACTGTTTGAACAAGTGTAATTTGCAATTGCTTGTCTCTGTTAGGACTTCATATCTCGCTTCATGACTGGGTATGGAAGCAGTTGACATTTCCAAATACTAGAGATCTGTTGTTACTGTTAGACATCTTTTCTGAGAATACAGGTCTTAGGCTGAAAATATCAACGCCACAGGCATCATTTTAAATCTTCCTCACTCTCAGGTTTTGGAGTGGGTTGAATATTTATGATTTCCCTTGTTTCATAATTAATTCGATTTATGGTACTCGTCGGCCTCAGAGTAGGTTACAACTACTGGCTAGTTAATCTTCCCCAAACTACCCTTTGGTTAAAGGACTGTTAACACTGCTGGTCAAGAAAGTGGTGTGATTTTTCTTGGGATCACACAGTGAGCCCTCCACTGGTGGATATAAAATTAATGGTAGAATCTTCAATTTTAGTTATTTCAACCTTCTGAGCTATCCTTACTTGCTGACCAAAATACATGAAAAAATAAAAAAGGTTACTATTACTGGGTTACTGTTTACTGTAGTAGTCACTGTGTTGGCAAAGTTTATTCAGCTTTGATACATGGTGACACTGTGGAAGGTCATACTTGATTACCTAAGGCGCAGGGTTGATGAGTACCGAATCCTAGGAACGAAACTCCTGCCCAGGGAGAGGTGTAGGCCAAGGCTTCTCCTCAGCTGTCTTGCCTGTTTCTAAAATAAGTGTATCCTCAGGGTAAGACTTGATGGGATGGCCATTCTTCAGAAGGCCATGTTTTATGTGCTCATTTAACAAACACTTTGAGCATCTATTGTGGGCTAGAAACTGTGCTAGTTGCTGGGATGACAATGTTGAACAAGTCTCAGTCCCTTGTGTTCGCAGTTCTTTAGTGGACGTCGGGCGGTTTTCCCAGGACTGGTCTTTGGCAAGACTGGGTGTGAGCAGTTATCTACTTTAAAATTTTTCCTTGCAAGGCTATCCACTGAGAGGGAAGTGATTTTGTTTAGCAAGTTGTGTGGCTTTTTGGTAAGTCAAAGTTCTGATCTTGAGTAAATATCCTGAGGAAGAATAACCTGCCTACCCATGACCCCATGGATGATGAGCTAATACGCTTTTCAAGGGAAAAAGTCCCTGCCATTTCCTACCACCTGCAAATGTCCCTCGTTATGTGACTTGTAGATAATGGTGTTTTAGTGTTACATTTGCCTTCCTCTGAGTTATTTATTCAACAGGTACCCATTTATTCTATGGGGTACCCATGTGAGCCACACACTGTTTGTGTATAGAGGATGAAGAGGTAAACTGCGTAAAGGCGACCAGCATCCAGTGAGTTAACAAACAATGTGATTTCCCATAGTGATAAGTGTCACAAAGACAATATGAGTATAATGGCATGGAGATTGAGGTTATGGTGGATGCCTGCTTCAGCAAGTGTGGTCAGGGAAGATATATGGAAACGTGACATTTGAGCCAAGACCCAAATGGTGTGAAGGAGCCAGCCACGTCAGAATTTGTTGAAAAATGTGCATTTTGCAGAAAGGGAACAGCAAGCACAAAGACTGAAACAGGCACAGCAGGGCATTTTCAAGGTACTAAAGAAAGCTGGGGCTGCCAGGGCGTTAAATCAAGGGTAGGGCATTTGTGACTATGTCTTTGAAACTGTATTGCTGTCTATCTAGTCATGTAATTATGACTTGATAGAAGTGCATAGGAAACATGTTCAAGACTTATTTTAGATTGCTTATAGACCAGTGCATCACTTAATTATGTGTTAATTAATAGATGTATCACTTATTATACTTACTAATAAGTTTTCCCATTACTTAGTCACTTCACAGTATATTCACTGTGCAACAATAGACTTAACCAACGTTAATTGCGTGTCAGATGTATTCCAGGCTTAGTTCCCACCCTCAAGGAGTTCATTTTCTAGTGGGGAAGTATTTTAAAAAAGAAATGAAACAACTTGTCTGCTTGGTGCTGTGGGTTTATTGACGGGGGGTGGGCTGGTGCAGGGAGAGGCACGGTTGTTACTGTAGGTGATATTTGAGCTGATTTTTGAGGGATAAGTAAGAGTTTGTCAGGCATGCAAGTGGGGAGAGGGCCTCAAAGAGGGACAGAGCCTGGGCAGGCCTGGCAAAGAGGCAGGAGGTAGTGAATTAGAGGATTGTTGGTTATGGCTGGACTGAGCAGTTTAAGCGGTGTGTGCTGAAATCATCCGCCTGAAGAGGGAAAAGAGGAGCTAGGGAAGAAGGTGGATGAATGGTTCCCTCCTCTTCAGGAACACAGACAGGAATGAATGATAGACCAAAGTCCGGAGAAGTGGAAGGAGGTGATGATCTAGAGCACTACTTGGGAATGCTTCACGTTGCTGGGGGAAGGAAGATGGGAGGTTATTGTTGGTGATGGGAGCAGTGTTTTCCAAATGCTGCCTGAGTCCTGGCTGCACAAAAAAAAAAAAAAAAAAAAAAATCAACCATGGAACTTTCTGAATGTCCATATTCCTGGATCCCATCCCCAGAGAGACAGATTGAGAAGGGCTAATGTGGGCATCAGAAACCTGAATTTTTAAAGCATCCCCAGGAGATTCTGAGGGGCAGAGAGATTTAGATCAAAACAAAAGGGTGGCCAGCAGCAGGAGCAGAGTGAATAGAGTCCAACAGGAGATGCTGAAGGCTCCAGTTAGGGGAGTAGCAGCGAGAATGAACAGGATGGGGAAGAAGGATTCTAAAGATGTGTGAGTAGGTAGGTTGTGTCAATAAAACTTGTTGGATTTGGGGGATGAAGAGGAGTTGAAGGTGGCTCTACGTAGACAGATGGTGTTAAAATTCCGTAAGGCAGGGGATGTGGAAAAGGGGGAGCTCGTTTTGTGGAAAGATGAGTTCAGCAGTGGCCGCGTTTAATGTGGAGGGGTCTGTAGTGTACAGAGATACCCGGGGCGGGGGGGGGCATTTGGAGAGAGGGAGCTGGACTGGATATGGTTAGGTAGGTGCGAGCTCTGCCATGGATATGAGTGAGGGCACCCGAAGCAGTGAGTAGAGTTAGGAGGCTAGGACAGAGCCTCAGGCGATTCTAGTAGCTGAGGGACGGTAGGGTAGGGGGAGACAGCAGAGTAGGCAGAGATGGGTGTTTCCTTGGGAGAAACCTGTCTTATTCCCCCAGTTCAATTTGATTTGCCCTCTTTTGTTGTCAGTAAACTCTTGAGCTCTTCACTCTCTCTCACCACAGTGACTCTGATCGCCATACTCTCCATTCCCCTTGTCTCCAGTTTACAGCCGATTTTTGGCGTCTTCCATCTCAGGTCTGGAACCCACAGTTAATTACTGGAGTTGCATTCTCATCGAGACGCTCAGAGACCTGGTACACGTGTCCCACTAGTCATCTGAAAAAACCCAGCCTCGTGTTCATGTGCGACGCCTAATCTGAGCTGAGTCCTTGGGTTCAGTCTCTCCCTGTGCTCTTCCCCCTTTCATCCTATCCTCGAGACTAGTCCCGGTCTCGGCCCATCTCACTGCTAATGCACCCCCACAATAAGGGCTGTCACTTGTTTAGAGCCACACTTTAGCAGTTGTCAGTGACTTCCCATTGTAGGTAATACTTGAGCTGAGTTTTGAGGGATGAGTAAGAGTTGGTCAGGCGTACAAACTTTGATTCCTTTCTCTTTTCCCCAAGCTAAAAGAATGAAACATTCTTCTAGCTGAAGCCCACCCTCCATCTCTTCTTAACTCATTCTCTCTTGCCTTTTCTAACACCACTTCTACATCCTCTCCTTTTAGAGGATGAGCCTGGCACATGGTTAAATCTGGTGCTTTCTCCTGTTGATGCTGTAGTGGGCTTTTCAGAGACTCCCAGAGTACTTCAGATCCCTTACCTGTGGAAAGGGGTGAATATTATCTATTTTGTTGAGTTGTTTTGAAGATTAAGGGTTAGGGTGTGTAAAGCTCCCAGACGAGGGTTAGGTATTTTTAACTGGATCC